TTTTTTTTATAATAATATATAATATATGTAATATTTAAAATATAATATATAATAAAAAAATAAAATTTTATATTAAATAGCGAAAACTTGTGATTATTGTATATTTAATAAATTAAAATATTATATAATAATAATAAATAAAAAAAAATTTATAATTAAATTGCGAAAACTTGCGAAAACCTGTAAAATGTTCAAAAAGCATGATTATGTGAATATAATAATTATTAATTGATATCATATTCAATATAACTGGATATATATCGATTACTATCACTATCGATAGTAATCGATAGGGTATTAACCGGATATTAATTGATTACTATCACTATTGATAGTAATCGATAGGAGTGTTGATAATCGATATATATCTTACCGGTTAGTAATCGATATTTATCTATATATAAAATTTGCCAATGCAGGACCTATGTAAACTCTAATCACATAATTTACTGCACTTCCCTAATTAGTAAAATTTTGTTAATCATAAGAGTTTATAGAATTTTATCAATAAAATTCCATAAACTCTTATTATTCAAAAATTTTACTAATTAATTCTAACTTAATACACTAAGTAAACATGTTTAGTGCCTAAAAATATATTAAATTAGCAGAATTGTTTTTATTTTACTTAACATTTGGAAAAAAGATACTTAAATTTGAATTTTTTGATGAAGCTTTAGTCTTAGATTAGTTTTTATCTTAAGTGACTTTATATATTATTTGTTAGATAAAATTTGTTATGGGCAAAATGCAGCATTTTAAAAAATTTCATGCAGCATGCAGCAGCTATGCAATCATGCGAAAGTGCCCATCTCTACTTAGGACCCATTTTAATTCTGTATCCTCAGCAGAAAACTTGGTAGTGCAGTCCCTGTTCCACCCAGGTAATACCTACACTTCGGTAACTTACGCATTCACTGAGCCGAACAACTTGCAGTCGGGGAATACCCAACCGCTACCATTACCTACTTCTGCCCTTATAAGGTTCGCTCCAACCCTGGTACCCACTATCACTTTCCTACCGGTCCTTCCCCGATTTCCCAGACTTCCAATCCAGTTGGCCTGGAAGAGTTGATCTACCCGACATTAGGTGCCATTATGGTTTTTCTTCCTTGGTCCCCAATTCCTCAACATGGGACCTTTTCCTCTGGTGCAACTCCGGCGGCCAGGTTGGTAGACCTTGTTCCCAAGGACAACATCCGGTACTTCGGCTTTGGTCCAATATTCTGGTTTTGGTAGCACCGTCGAAGATCTTTGCTACCTTCTTACTCGGGTCTTGCCAAATGGGTTTCTGTTTCCCCGGTTCCTTGGATTTGTCTTTGTCACGGAACACAACTTCACCCGAAAGCTCCCATTCGAGATGGTAACCAAGGACTACAGGTAATGTACCTAACCGATCGGCAGAAAACAGTTACCAGAACACAGGTCTATTTTTTCAAAGCGTTGTCAGTGGGATTTGAACTCTAGACCTGCCACTTGGGGGTGACAACTTACAAACTTCTCTAAGTCGCCACACCCTCAATTTTGTATTTCTTTTTTGGTCGTCTTTAGATAAGTATTTATTTATTTTT